GAAAGGTTCTCTTTCCTAAAACTTTAACTACTTATACAAAGCTTAGATATAAGTTTCAGCTCGATTCATTGAATTATTACAGAGTTATAGTCTCCAAAGGTCGGCAAATAGTTTTCTCCTCTCTGCATAAACCTGAAAAAAATGGCTAAAATTTTGGAAAGTGTTGATGAGCTTTCACAAAATTATACGACAGATAATCGGAATAAACCACTAGATAATGAAGAATGGACTGACTCACAAAATTCTTCTTTTTTGAGTTATAAACTTAAAAGTATGAATAGGTGTGATCCATCATAATTCTCACTCCATATAAACAATCGAGCCAAGCTCGTGTCTCAAATCAAATTTCGTAGTAAAATATTGCACAGCAATTTTTCAATCTATAGCATACAGGGTAGTCAAGATACGATGAATGGAAGACTAAAACAAAATTATAAATTGACTTCTTAAACTATTTAAAAACTAACAAGATCGAAAAAGATGAGGACAAAGAGCTAATCTTATATATTTATATCATGTCATGTTCAATTTTAATGAAAATCTAAGTAAATCTAAAACGTTATATAGGTTGCGAGTGATTTTAACACGTTCCGATCAAAAAACCGGAAAGTTCTTCAAGTTTATGCTTTGTAAGTAGTATTCTTTTATCGATATTTATTTGCCTTTGACTTTAACTTGCTTCATATATGATATGAAAAGTATACTATATTATTTTATTAAATTTTGTTGCGTTGTGCTCCAACTAAGAAAAATAAAGAGATGTTTTAGTTTTCTGTACTCGCTGTGCTTGCACTTGAATACTTGAAAAATTAAAAAATGTTGATTCTTTTATTTATAAAAAAATACTTCTGAAAATTATTTTCCAATATCAACGCAGAAGGTTATTGGTGTATACATATCATAATATGAGTAAGTGAAAATGCATATACTGTCTAATTTTAAAAAAGTACGTGCTATATTTGCTCAATGCAAGCGAAAATTTAAATTTATTATTAAATAGAAGAAAACAATTTCATAGTTTTGCGTCTAAGTACAAATAAATCCTTTCAAAATTTACATCAGCCTAAGGTTCAATTTTGTCTTGTGAAAAACAATGCGATCGATTAAAATTCAAATGAATAATATATATTCTTGTTTTTGTTTCTTTCTTTTTGAGTTCTAACGATCAAAGAACATAGATAAATAAATAAAGTAACGATGTCAAGATAGTTTGTACTACTAAATGAAATTTTTACACTAATCTTTATGATGTTATCATGACTTTTAATTCCTAAATTTTTAGAAATAAATTTATGCGATATAATATTTTCTTAGATAATAAATTTTTACCGATCACGAATATCGATAAACGTTTAGTTAATGTGTATTTTGTGTGTATGAGTTATATGTTTCTCTTATCTGTCACCATTATATTTATCATATTAAGAGTATCCAGTTATTAATTAGTGAACTTGGTGAAAAGAAATGATAACAAATGCTGAATACATATGCGTCATACTGTCAAGAAATAATCATATAAACTATAGTATAAGTCAATAGGTGGTCTCTTAATGATCAAGAACTTTTCTTAAGAATTGATATTGACAACAAGAAACAATCTAGTATTAATCAATCAAAAACGATGAGTAATTTTGAGCAGTAAAAGAACTTTCTTTCTCAAAATTATATCTGCGTAATTTCCATGTGAATAAACGCATTTAGAGTTTTACTATATTAATATTATCTTTTTTCATATCATAAAAACAACGTCATCAGAAAAAAATAGATTAAATAGGTTTTAAAAAAAGCCTTTAGATTGGATTCTGCCTATTGCTTGAGGAAATTTTACTTAGAAGTGTTAATAGATTTTTTGTTTTCAAAATAAACTGTCGAGCGATCGATTCTGTTTCTAGTTAACCAATTCAACTCATAGGCAAAAAAATAATAATATTATGTAAAATGTTATACGTTGCCTTTATCTGTCAATATGTTATATGTCACCTTTCATTATTCCTTTTATTGTTAAAACTATTTTCTCTAAATAACATCGAGCATCTGTCATTCGTCAAAAGAAAGAAGAAGATGAGTTTGTATACTCATTCTATCTTAAGCTTTTCTATATAGAATAAACCTTATTATAAATCCGGATAGTTTTCATTTCACGTTTTAGTATGAGAAATGTCGCCATATAATATCATCCTACTATTTTCTTATTTTTCGAGAGCATTTCTAGCGTGTTTTTTTCTATTTACTTTAAAATATTGTATCCTATTGGGATGAGTGAAATTTTTTAATTAGTATGCGGTCAAGTAAGCTGAGTTTTGTTTTTGTACTTTAATATCTATATAAATGTCTCTTATTACGATGATTATCTCAAGAGATTCTAGTTAATAAAGAAAAAAAAAGATATGTAATTAGACCAAAAAATAAGAAATAAAAGGAGGCATGCAAATAATTTTTATTGTAATGTATTACACTCCAAATGAGAGTCATTAAAACCATGATGGAAGATAAATAGAAGACACGATGCCTATTTTGTTTGGAAAATAAAAGTAAATATGCGTGTAGTAACAGAGTAAGAAAACAATTTTATTGCAGTTAATATTCATAACCACAGTAATATATTGAAATTTTTCTTTTATTTTTTTTAATGTATTTCTCACTTTCATCTTCAGACTGTATTTTCCATAAATAATTTTATTATTAATCAAATATGATCGGCCATGCGATACGGTATGAAATAAATAATACAACATTGAGATGAATTTTAATAGGATTATTTGGAATCAAAATGAAGATAAATATATGTCAATACATATTATGTTAATATCTGAGAGTAAAAATTAGATTATTATATAAAGCTTATTTTTAAATCAAACAAAAAGATTTTTTTTATCGCAAGAAATTGAGTTTTTGGATTCAGTTTGAAAGTAAAACCGTTCAAAAAAGTCCTAATATGATACTGAGCAATCAAGGAAAGAAAACATCGCATACATAACTGTATTTAGGACATATAAACTGTTCGATCAAATTTAGCTGTAAGAAAACTGACTTGTTTTGTTATTACATAGTCCTATTCATGATTGAATATGACTACATTAAAAGAAAATATTATAAACGTCATGAATGTTAGCTCACTAGTTCTGCATTCATATAGCTCTTTAGCATAGGATTTCTAATGAGATATCATCGATGTAATCCTTGAGATAAGACCCATATCTCTCATTATGTTTTCTACATTTCTAAATCCTATGCTTTTCAATATCCGGTACGTGCTGAATATAGAAAAAAATCAGATTAAATATAAACACATTGTATTCAGTTCTATAATTTCCGATTTTCTTCTATCTTACGTATTGCATTTTTCTACAATGGATTTTGGACTGACATTAACTGAATCGCGTCTTTACCATTAATAATCAAAGCTAGATATAAAAATAGGCTAAGTATGATATTCCTAAGAAAATAAACAAGTATATTAGTTATATAGACGCATTAATGTTGGCGTCGTCATCTCGGTAATGTATGTCTCCTTAGATCGAAAACATAGCATCTATTCAAGACATTTCTTTCCTTCATACTTATTAAGAAATATGGCGTAATAGATCGATTTTATATAATTATGGAGAATAGAATATATTTTTATATAAGAATTCTTGTTTTTAGTGATAGCTATACCATAATGTAATTTTTTGATTGTTATTCGAGATGACTTTAATAGATTATTATTCAATTCTTTTAAAATAATTTTGTTGACATTAGCTGACAACTCTTCTTTTTTCTTCTTCAATGTTTGTTTTTATCTTCTTCTTTTTATAACCTTGTCGTGCGTCAACACATTAGTTAAAAAAAATTTTTTTTTTTTACGTACAGATTACATTAACACTATGTCTATCAGCCTATATTTTAATTAACACAGATCTAAAAGACTTGAAATGTGTTTGAGCACTTGTGAACTGCTTAATTGTCAGTATGATACTTTTTTTCTATTTCTATTTAGTTTTTTTAATATTATTTTCACACGAGAAATATTCATAGAAGTACCAGATAATCACATAGATCTGCTGCTATTGTTGTTGTTGTTATTGTTTTTTCCGGTAATAGAGGAAAACACAAATCATATTTTATCACGTACTTTAAAAAGATGACAAGTAACTCTGAAGAGAAAAGAAAAAATAATCACGTGAAGAAAGTGACTACATATCAAATTAATCTCTTTTCATCGTTGTATGAGATTTTGTTGATAATAGATTTTTCTAGGGTATTGACAGCATGATACAAGTATTCATCTCTCTTGTCGCTTAATTAGAATTCATTAACTGAAATGATACAGCTAAATGCATGATTCTTAATACAGCTTATGAAAACTAGTCTTACTCTTTCGTTTTCGTGTTTTACTTCACTTTAACTTGATTATTGCCGTCTAAAATTATACAGATGGCTATCAGAAATAATATTTTCTTTATATCTCTAGTAAAGAATAGAGCAGAAGAAATAGAGCGAAAGAATTCAAGTGTTTTTTTCTCACTAAACCATCTGTTCATTTCTAAAAAAAACTATGCAAGTTGTTCTTTATAGTAGTCATATTTGAGACATGCCGTCAACAAGTAAGGCTCTGTATTTCATCTCACGCGATTTTTTCTTTTTCTTTGTTTCATTTCATTTTTTATATGACAACTGCCATTAGAAGAGAATAAATTTAATCTAACTGCGTCAAAAGTAATATAGGTATCAGATGAGAACACTTTCATATTCTTGACTTTTCAGCAAACTACGATGTTTCATAGCAGTAATGAGCAATCAAAATTCTAATTGTTTTAGCGTGCTTATTACTATTATTAGAGTAAAAAGACAGGATAATTAACTATAATAAAAATGTTGAATACATGGTTTGATTCTTGTTTTTTTTATATTTTACCTTACATGAGAGATCAAAATAACTGTTATTTCAGATTAATTCAAAATTATTATTTATGATTAGTGAATCTCATCTTGATATTTAATAGCGAACACTTTTCGATATGGAAAATAATACAACTATCATGAGTAATCAAAGTGATTATGATGGTTGGGAAGAAGATGGTCCATCATTTCATACACGTATTGCTTTTGCTTCTGCATGGATTATTATTGCTGTTGCTGGTATTATAGGTAAAATAAATTTATTCTATAGAAAAAAAAAGTAATTTCTAAAACATATTATAATTTCAAAATAGGTAATAGTCTCGTGATATTTGTTGCTGTTCGATTTCAAAAATTGAACAATGTTACAAATTGTTTTATTGTTAATTGTAAGTAATTTTAATTAGAGAATATTTTTTTATCAAATATTTCTTAACTCTAGTGGCTATTACCGATATCGTCTTTTTGGCATTTTGTATGCCACTTCTAGTAGTTCAATATACATTAGATCATTGGTAAAAAAAAATATTTCTATTATTCTATACTTTAATTACTTTTCTTTGACATTTAGGTTATTCAATGAAATTTTTTGTAAACTTCTAAATTTTATTTCTTTCGTTAGTGTTCTTGTTACTGTTCTAACATTAGTCGCGATGACTCTTGATCGCTATATTTATGTCGTAAGACCATTTGAAAATTTAAAATGGCGAAAACCTAAAACTGTATTATCATTAAGCATTATCATTTGGTTGAGTAAGTATAAGATTATTGTTATTGGTTTTTTTTGTTATCCCAAATAATCTTGTTATTAATTTTAGTTTCATGTATATTTGCTTCACCATTTTATTATCAGTATGGTGTAATACGTAATTATCATTATCATCGGCAATGTGTATTACTTAGTGATGAAAATATGCAAAAATATTTGTGTATTTATACAATTACACTTTATTATTTTATTCCATTAATAATAATATTAATATCATATACTAAATTACTTTGTTATGTTTATTCAAAAGAAAATAAACTTCATCCTAAAACAGTAATAGAGAAAAAACAAAATTCAGTTTTTTTTTTAACAATTAAATTTTCTTTATTTAGAAATATAATATTGTAAAATGGTCAAAAAAACGTCGTGCTGTAACAAAAATGGTTGCGATTGTTACTCTTGCTTTTTCAGTTTGTTGGTTACCTATAACATTATATTTAATGTCAGCATATATATTTCCACAAAAAACAGCATTTCTTTATTATTTTAAAGTTATTGCTAATTCATTTGCTTATTTAAATTCAGCTATTAATCCAATTCTTTATGCATTTTTAAATCGTAGTTTTCGTAATAATTGTGGAAGCCTTTTTCTTGAACCAACATGTGCATTACTTTTTCGTGATAGTCACCGTCGATCAGGTACACAATCTCAACAACAACAACAACAACAACAACAGCAAGAACAACAATCACGAAAGCATCCAGTATCAACACAAATTGATCGATTTAGTTATCAATCAACGAATCAACAATCATTATCACCAACAAGAGATAAAAAGAAGAAACAAGTATTACAAATAAATAACGACCAACAATTATCACCAGATATTATAATACATTATGACTTTTCAGATGTTGATGGTGAAATATCTGATGTTGATGGTAGTAATCAAATTCCTATTGAAAATAATTCATCTAAAAACCATATTTATAAAGGACAATATGAACCACTATCAACAGAAGAAACTAATGATTCAAGTACATTGACAACAACTGTTTGATATTCATATGGTTTTCAAAGAAAAGTTTCCTTTTCTTTTTAATGTATCTTTTCGTTTTTAAAATGCAAATAAATTCATTATTATGTATTTCAATATTCTCATTGAACGTTAACTATCGAAAATATTTTAAGATAAAATGTATCATAGAGTTTATTTCGTGTTAATTATATTTTTTAATCGAATAGACTCCGACAAGTATGAACAAATTTTAAATTATTGAATAGTGAATTTTAAATTTTTTTATGTTTTTCATCGAATGACGTGTCTACGTCAGATTATTGTCGACTTAATTTTTTACTTCTCGTTGCGCATTGGAGTAAACATGCGTATCAACATTACAGCGATGTCGCATGAGCATAAAATTTGAAAATTTAAAAAAAAAATACTCATAGTGCACATGACGGTCTAAATAAGAAGGAAATCACAAGCGACTTAACCATACTATCCATGGAGTCAAAAAATTAAAAAAACCTCATGACTTTCGTGAATTTCCTATCAAAACCAGGAAAATAATGGTACTTCTGATAATGATACGGACAAAAAATGGATGCTTTTCAAATTCCTTGATGATAAGTGACATTTTAATTAAGGAAATGCGATGAATTTTATTTTTATATAAAATTAATGAAAATGTCAATTTTTTGTCGATTTTATCATTTTAATGTCATACTTTTACTTTTTAACTTCTTTCGAAATTGATATATCATGAAAGTTTGCATTCTGTTTTCAATGATTTTTTTTATCAGTATACTCTAGAATACTTCATGAAGTTAAGGATGAACATCTAGATAGTTATATATGAGATCTATGATGTTACAATCCGAACTATACATTGTCTATGAAGAGGACACTCAAGCGTAGAGAATAAACATCGACAGAGTTTACTTAACAGTTCCATACATTTTTAATGAAAAAGAACCTTAAGGCTATTCCTGTTTACAATGAATATGTAATTATAAGATTTATACGCTTGATGTATACGTCCTTTGCATTATCAGTTTGACAATCTATACGCTGATGCAAATTGATCTGATTTCGAACAAATTCTCTGTATGACAAAAGGCATGATGCTTATATCAAATAATCAAGACATGTGTCGATGATGATAAGCTAGAATGATCTTTACCCTCGGCGAGAATAAATATGATAGAAATACGCAATAGAACAGGTTTCAATAATAATTTTCTTCTTCAACATTAATTAGTTGAATAATGATTGATTATTTCATTGTATTGATATTATTTGCTTGCTAGATAATTTTCTTTTTTTAAATAGAAGAAATTCAAAAACTCGATAGATTGTTGGCAAGCAACATGGTAACTATTAGTGACATCTAAATGAAACAATTGAATTTTCATTAATTCCAAATTTAATATTGAATTCTGTATTTTACAACGATGAATAAAATAAATTCATATCGATTTCTATGAATAAAATTTCTTTTATCTTGGTGTTCGTAACTAAGTGATAGATTTCAAGATGGTGAGAACGGTTTGGCAATAGTCGGTAAACATTTTCTGTCGCTCTCAACAGTAAGTGCTTATAGAAACATTCAAAAAATCACAAAAATGTGTGAGAAAGCTAATGAAATCATTTTGATTTTTACACGATCATTATCATGTTAATAATAAAAAAGACACATTATACTAATTTTGGTTACACTGTGAGAAGTTATTTTTTTGTTTATAGTTTTTTTTTGTAGACCGAATACATAGCACTAAGGTAATAAACTCATGAGCAACGAAACTGAACAGCACGGCAGTATCCGAAGCAGGAGCGAAACTCCTCCGCAGGTGTCTCCATATGAATTTACAAAGACAGGTATTATTGGTGATCAACGTGAAACAATGCTTCAAAGTGAACTTCAAATTTTAGTATGTTTTGTTTTGTTGGTCATCTGAATGATTAAAATTATAATTTTATTTAGCCAGAATTAGGTAAAACTCGTCGTCGAGGTCATAAATTACCTCCACAAAGTTTTACATATGGCATAACTATGCCTCGACGTGATGGTGGTGTAGGTGAAGGTAAGACAGAAGCAATTCAAAATGCAAGCAAACTCATTTTGTCACGATTGCATACAGCTTATCAGAAAGCCTTTTGAAAATTTTCTTTTTTTTTTTTATATTCCCAAACAATGTTGTTGTAACGAAACTTAGGTTACAAAAAAAGTGTATGAAAACTTGAAGATCTTATTTTTCAATACAGATTTTTCTGCTGATTGTAAATATGATGCTCGTTTCATTTGAAACAAAAGTTCTAATGATCAATTTATCTTAATGTAAACTCGTATTTATGCTGCTTTGTGATCATATACAAGCACTCCATTTTCTCAACATACAATCTTTTTCAAAAAGCATGAATGACTTTTTTTCTAATGATATGGTGAATAAAAAAAAATAAATCGAGATCAGTAAGACTAGATGCTTTTGACATTCTTCAGCTTTCATAGATTTTTCTTAAGCTAATACAACGAAGTGTAGCCAACCATCATAGAAAAAAAATTTATTGATTGAATTTTGTTTCAATCTTTAGCACTGTGTCATGGACCTGAAAAAGAACGTGAAACTAATCCTGATTTTGAATTTGTACGTGATTATTCAGCTTTAAATAAAGCAGCACTTGAAGCCGGCATGACAACAGCTAAAGATCAATCACGTTTTAGGTCATTATTTTAATATTCAATATTTTATTTTATTTTTCATATTAATAGAACCGTACATGATATTAAAAAGAAAGTTTTCATTCGTGATGTATCACTTGCTAAAAAAACACATAAGTTTCCTGATGATATGGTATTCGGTACACCAAATAGGTAATTAAATCTCAATTCTTATCTATTTAAATCTTTCATTTTTAATATAGACCATCGACACCTATAGTCGAAGTTTTACAAAATCGTTTTCTTGATAATTGGCTTGAAACAATGGAAAAAAAGCAAACTACACTTAAAAAAGAACGAACTGATGCTGCGGTACATAACTTAATTGAATATATTTATCATATCCCTTTTTTTTTTTTTATTTGTAGAATGCTTTTAAAGGAAGTTATCATACAAAAGCATCACTTCTTCGTCAAGCGAAAATTCCTGTTGATCCAAAACCATTATGGAAAATGCCAAAATTTACTCATGTAAATTATAAATTTTCTTTTTGTGTTCTAATTGTTTGTTTTTTTTTTTCATGAAAATTTTCAGGGTGAAAATCAAGTTGATTCATTTCGAACTGAAGCAGAACGTCGTAAAGCATTTAGTGCTAATACATTTGATTCCATACCTCGTCAAGGTACATATCATTCAGGAATTTATAATGTTCCACGTACTACTGTCAAAACATAAATATTGAAAACAAATCCATTAACTATTTGAGTGCTCTCTTTTTTTCTTTTATTGTGCATCATAGCTTTTTTTTTTATTTAAACAAAAGAAAAAGAGTCTTATGAATGATCAACAAATGGCAATGTTTTTACTTGGCTAAAATATATCGATATATTCAAGACGTATAAATAACGACTAGAGAAATATTGTTGTGAGAAGAAAAGATTTGTTTGCTTTTTTTTCTATGAATAGATTCGATGTAAATCATTTTGTTTTTCTGTATAAGCATTATGCAGTCCTGTTAGAAATTCTTCGTCATTCTAAGCAAAACAAAAAAAAAAAAACAAATATTTAGCAAAATATGTAAAGAAAACTAATTTACTTGAAGCATATCAATTAATAATTGTCGAAGTGTATCTTTTGAAAACGGATTCATAGATGAAATTTGTTGATTTTGACAATGACAACAAGATGTTGTTACATCGTTTTGTATTGAAGGAATGAAAGCTATTTAAAATAACAAATATTATTATATTCAAAAAATAATTATTTGGTATATTTACAAGGTGATTGAGTTATTCGTAATGTTTGAAATTCAGCTGGTGTCATTAAACGACCATTATTATTTGAGAATGTATCGAACTAAAAAAAATTTGTATGACTATAAAGCACTTTTTTCCTTTGATTTCAATAACTCACTCCATTAAAAAGATTTTGGTTAGATGTTGTCCAATCATTTGTAGAATTAGTTACAACACGTGGTGATATTGAATGAGGTGATGTTTGAATAGAAGTCTAAATAGCACAATTGATGTGATATTAAAATGTAAAATATGACGTAACTGCTCTCGTTAATCATAAGGAAATTGTTTTATTCTATATATTTTCGGACATATTTCTTTATCATCCTTCACGAAAAATACACTAACGAAGTTTCATATATTTATACCTATATTTCAACATTTCTTTTATATCGTTTTTCATAAAAACTATTAGTCTACTATATCATTATCGCTAATATTTTATAAGATATTGCTATAAATTCTATTAGAATGTGAGTGAAAATTTTTGAAATGAAGATTCATACATTTAGTAATATCATATTAAGCATACTTTATTTTCAATCTGCACAGGTTTGACGAGATTTTCAATTGTGTAATTATTATTATTTCCTGTAAAATTAGCCATAGCTTTTGTTATATCTAATGATGACGGTTGTAATAATTGTTTTTCAAGTTCAGTTACACTTAAAGCTGGTTTTCCTAAAATTCCTAATGTTTTTTTTAATTCTTGTTCACGTTCATCATTATTTGTTAATTGTACTTGTGTATCTTGTGTAGAAAAAATACGTAATAATGCAGCTGGCATTGATGTTATTGTATCAGTATTATTCATTTCTTGTTTACGTTTCTATTTCATATTAAATATAATTAAAAACAAAAAAATTCTAAATAAAATAAAATAAAAACAAACTGTTTCTTGAAATTTTTCTTGAGCATTTATTAATAATGAAAATATATCTGATGAACTTTGATTTAATGTTGAAAGTAAATTTTGATTATCGAAATTATTTATTAATTGATTTTGTTTTGATTGTTCATATTCTTTAGTTTGTATTGTTAAACTAGAATAAAAATAAAAAATAATAATTAAAACGAATTTTTTAATTTATTAATCACCGTTTTAAACATTCAGTTACACGAGGACAATCATTTTTTGATATGAACCATATACCATAAATATCTAATCGAAATAAATACATAATAAAAATATTAGAAAAAGAAAGAGAATTGTTTATAAATACCTCCGACATCAACTTTATATTGAAGAAATGCTTCATAATTAGGTGAATGTTTAAATTCCATAGATGATTTAATTATCTGTACAAATGTTTCACGTGATACAGTACTTAATATAACAAAACCATGATAAGGTTCACATGATCTAAATAATTGAAAAATTTTTGATTGAATATATTTTTTATCAATAAACATTCATTTACCTTTCATAAACAAATAATGTTCCTTCAAGATCTTTACGTTCCTTAAAAAAAAAATATAAATATAAATGAATATATGAACAAAAACATTTTTCTTTTTTACCCATTCACGTTTTTCACCAATAAATTTATAAACACAAACACGTTGAGCTTGATCAATTATTTTGGTTATGTAGGGATCACGATTTTGTAATGCTTGTAAATTAATACGATTTAATTGATCTTCTTCATTAGTATTTTCATTTGAAATATTTATTGATCGATTTGTATTTGATATTAAAGATGTTGATGATGAAATAATAGATGACATAATAACAAAAAGAAAAGAAAAGAAAAGAAAACAATACGCTAATAACAATTGATTCTATTTGGATTATATGAACGAGCACGAGGATAGTAAATCCACTTACTTATGGGTAAACTATGGATATATCTAGCTTATTTATGATTGATAGGAAGAAATTATAGACTCCATGAATCTCTATAGATCTCGAATACTAATAGAATCTTCTAAATAATTGTTGTTTGTTAGCTAACAAACTGCTTGTTCTATTTGAAATTTCTTATTTTTTTTTGCTAGTGTTAATTATTCATCTATATTATAAAAAAGAGAACGAAATAAATCTGTTGTATATTGGTTCGGAAAACATTATAAATGACAGATATTATCTCGAGACTTGCAGGAAAATACATTGCGTAGAAAAGAATTTTTGCAATAACCTTTGAGTTCTTTTCGGACATTACAATGGGGTAAAATATATTCATGAAAATTTTTTTATTTCATTTTGATTATTACGATTAAAGAGATTCGCACAATTTAAATACTACTTGATTCGAAAAACTTTTTGTTATAATTTTTTAGAAAATCTAGTCATGTCTACAATTCGATCAAGTCAACCGACTATGATAAAAAATCGACCTCGTACAACATCTCAACCAACAGTATCACCACGAAAAATGTCTAAATCTTTAGATCTTCCATCATCATTAACATCAGATATATTTCGTATTCTACATAATGTTGTATTAGCTTTTTGTCGTCGTATTATATTTGCACCACCAACACTTAAAATACTTGTTTATTTTTGTCTTATTATAATTGGTCCTTTTTTAAAAGATTTTCATTTTTTACCAAATACATCTCTTTCTTCAAAAGCTAATATATTTAATAAATATATAACAAAAATAGGTTGGATGTGGTCGATATTTTTATTAATTCCATTTGTTTACTTAACAAGTTTAATTTATACTCGTGGTCATTATGGTTTAATAATTCGTCATTTAATTCGTTTATTAATAGCTACTACTATATGGTATATAATAACATTTTTATTTATACGTATTGAAGCTCTAACAGGCATGTGTAAACCGAATGATATGCGTGGAAGTGCAAGACGATTTTGTCATATTAGTCGATATCAATGGCAAGAAGGTCATACATTTTTTCTTCTTTATGCTCTTTTAGTAATAAATGAAGAAGTTAAATTATATGGTGAAAATTGGAAAAAAGTTGAAGATGCCAATAAAATTAATATTAATAATACAAATACTTCATTAAGTTTAAATCAAAATCGTATGAAAATGTTTTCTCTACCTATTGGAATACTCTATATTGCCTTAGCAACATTAACAGTTCTCTGGGAATTCATGCTTTTATCAACAGTTTTATATATTTATAATATTTTACATAAATTAATAGCAGCAAGTTTTGCTGTATTTTTTTGGTTTATTACGTATCATATATGGTATCGTCAGAAAAATACATCGAAAATTGCTCCTTGTGCACCTGGTGATGGTTTTATTACTTTTTAAAAAAAGAATCAATGCATTTCTTTTTTTATGTTTGTATACCTTTTTTTTTTAATATTTTATTCAAGTGTAATTATATATATATCAAAACAAAAAATATATATATAAATGATAAGTTGTTATTCAAGATGTCGTAGACGATACAACGCTGGTCGAGCATTTATTCGTGATTCAGGTTCATGTTTCCAACAATCTTCGATGATTGTTAATACATCAGAAATTTTCTAAAATGAATATAAAAATGTATGAAGACGTGAAATTTCACTTTTTAGATAATAGTTTGTCAACAGGGATACATCAAAAGTCTGTCTAAAAAGCTTATGTGAAGAACTTCTAAGCAGTTCAAACAATTATTACATTTAGCTTTTAATATTATTCTATATTGTTTGAAATTTTATTCGGTATCTATCAGAACTTTTCGATTACGGTTAATTGTACTACTCTGCATTAATGTATCAGTTTAGTTTTAATTGTTCACTTAATTTATTTCTATAAAACTAAAATAATAACAAGATATGAAAGGCTTAAATTAATGCAATATTTTTCGATCATACCAACACTGTTTCACATAATCTAAATAATCTATTCATAATAACAAAAAAACCAATATATGATTAAGCATACAACTGAAAACGTCAAGAATAAGTGATACTTCTAATAATAGGCATGGACACTTATATCTGTCAATCAACGTAAGTCCTACAACACTAACTTGATGTTTGATTCAATGCTTTCGAACAATACAACGATCTATTAATATCTGATTTGCAAAAGGTAAGAGTCAGATCAACAATTTTGTCTTGTTAACCAAGCAAAATATTATATAGACGAATTCGACCAAATCCACAGCTCTGGTATGTTTGCTAATACGTGTTCGTAATTTTAAAATATTAGAATAGGAATAGTCTTGTCAAGGGTGAAATTTAAATTACCTATAGTTGTGTAAGAAAAATTCAATTTGCATTCTTTATATAAAGTGAGACATAAATTATATCAGAAAATGCTTTTCATATCTTTTGCAAAATCAAGTTTTTTTTTGGCATGAAATTACTCAAAATAAGAACCGATAGCGAAAATAAATTAATTTGAGCATCAACTTTTTGTGAAGACTTCTGAAATACTCTGTATGTAAATAGATTTCATTACTGAGAAACTAAAGCTCACATGTTCTTTATTGGCGAAGCTTTATTTCATAGAATGATTCGAATAAAGGAAGTTCTTCACGATTAAAAAGAAGCTAAAAAATTCTCTATATCTTTCATACCGAGTTCATATTTATTGTTCGATGTATAATTGGTCTTTTTCTTTCGTTAACAACAATCCGATGAAGTGTATCCAGAATTTTATTTTCATTCATTTCATTCGTATTGATATATTCTGCATAGGGAAGTTGATAATCAATAGAACCTAGAAATAAAAAACAAAGTTAATTACTTTTTTTCTTCACAAAACAAAGTTAAATTGTATTCATTTTACATGAATAGTCTTGACATTGTGTTACGATTTCCCACAAAACAAGTCCAACTGCATACATATCAACTTTACATAAAGCATCACTTGTATGTGTTATAGCAAGTTCAAGTAATTCAGGTGCCATATATCGATATGTACCAATTTGTATGAAATCATTTGGTGTTAATATAGGTGGAAGAATTTTAGCTAAACCAAAATCACTTAAACATAAACTAAGAGTTGGATTTGATTTAATAAGAATATTAGAACTTTTTATATCACGATGAATAATAATTGGTTTACGAATACGATTTGATGTTAAATAATCGTTTGGTAATAAATCTTCATAATGAAGATAATCAATTGCATTTAAAAGAGAAGCAAAAAATGAATAACATATTGACCAAGAAAGTTTATGTGAATGAAGATAATTATTAAGTGAGTCAAGGTTATAATATTCAAGTAGAATATATGGACATAGATCATGCCATCCATGACTAATAAAACTGAAAGAATAAACGATAGATTTTATAGTGTATAAATAGACTAATCAATAGCTTTCAAGACTTTTTCTTCTAGACAATAACTTTGTTTTGGATTTGTTAATACTCTCAGAAGGAAGCTCAGTAACTTAAATAAATCTGAAAATAAAAATTTTCATAATCGTTTTTTTTGCATGAGTCTTGACACATAAACATTAACATTTTTAAAAACGAAGAAATAATAACTAACAAAGAAACTGTTCCAAGTGTTTAATCATTTTTCAGTATGAATTCTATACATACGGTAGTCACCTAGAATTTTTTTCTTTTGAAAGATGAACATCGATCGTTTTGAGAGCATGAATACTTAATACATGCTATAGTAACCATCAACTTCAAAAGGATCAGCCCGATCCTCCGAAGAGGAGCGTATGACTAGCAACAACAGCTACATCGTGTTTTACATATTAATCCTACAGGTATTGTGATAACACCTTTTCTAAATTGTTAAAGAACAATTAATGATTCATCTGACTTACTTAACAATAGCAGAATGATCAATCATTCTTAGAATTTGTACTTCATTTTCAAATATATTTTTATATTGTTGTGAATGATAAACTTTAACAGCAACAAGTTTTTTCTCATGTTGTAAATTATCTTTTTCTGTTGTCCATGCACGATAGATAATACTATTTTTACCATGACTTATTATTGATTGATAAGTAGGATTTGATGATAAAAATTCATCGATTTCTGTATTTGAAATATTTGTTGATGCACATGATATATTTGCTAAAAATGATCGATCATCTTTTTCATATGTTTTTTTATACCATTTATATTTCATAATCATAATAATGATAATTATACTAATAAAAATAATAATAATAACAATAAATAATATAATTATTAATGAAAAAAACCAATTATTATATTCATATTGTTTAATTAATTTATGTTTAAGATAAAATTTTTGATTTAAATTTTCAGCTGTCTTCCATTTTAATGTACAATTATTTGAATTACATCGACATAAGAGATTAGTACCAGTTTTATCAACATCAAGAATACATTCTGTTATATTCGAATATTTTTCTTCAAAATCATCAACTAATGCTAATTGACGAATAGAAATTAAATTTTCTTTTGTTTTAAAATTTTTATCAAATGTATAAATTCCAAGACAACGACGATAATTTGATTGTGTTCTAATATATGTACATAATGAGAAATTTTTATCACATGAATTAATTATACTAGTTTCATTATTAAATACATTATAAACTGGACAAACCAGTGATTGAATATTGAATGGAAATAGAAAAAAAGAAATACTTAGGAGGATAAACATATTGACCACTGGTCAATGAAATAAAACTTAGAAAATATTGGTTATAACAAATTAGCTTTGTTTAAAACAATAACGAATCATTTATTAGCAATGACCTACTCCTGCCATCTTTGATTATATTCTTTTTGTTAAAATTCTAACAATGAAGTTATCCTGTTTTTTGAATATTCATGCTTAAGTAATCATATATTTACAATGAGAGAGAGAAAAATTCTATTAGATTTTCTATAACAAAGTTATTCTATTATGATAATATATTTGCTACCTTAATTTATCCTTGTAATAGATTTTTTGTGAATGACTAATAACATACAATGCAAAAGTAATGAAACAAAATGTTCATCCGTATTTTGCTTCGATAGAAGAGTGCTGAAAGAAAAATCTTTTTTGCCAAAGAGCACCCTTAAAAACATTTCGCACTTTTCGTGAAATTTAGAAAAATGACAAAAAACGTTGATTTCCTTGTTTCTTAAATAACCCTTCAATAAACACGTGTCCAAAAGAAAATTTTATTACCAATCGATAGGAAATTTTCTCCTCTTTCGAACAGTATGTAGTTTATTTTTAATACACATTCGTAAATGAAATGAGATAAGAACGATAGGAAAATGCTTGTGTAACAAATTTGCAAGTTTTGTATCAACTTGTTAAAAATATCGTGGCAGACAACGATAATTCGATTTCTTTTGATATCCATTAAATAGCTCGTGAAACACAGCAGTTACTTAGATTTTTACGAACTTTTTAAAACCATCTTGTAGGTGTCAATTAATTATGATTAACTACCATCTAGATGTTATTGACGAGTTCATAAAAAAAAACTGCAAATTTGTTGCTCGAGTGTCTCCCTTTCTTTCTTGTCTCATTTCATTGACGAATATGTATGACAAATAAACTACATACTGTTCGAAAGAGGAGAAAATTTCCTATCAATTGGTAATAAAATTTTCTTTCCAACACGTATTTATCGAACCTTTTTATAAAAAAAGTGTGAAATGTTTTTAAGGGTGCTCTTCTTTTTTGTTACGGTGTTTCATTTATAAACATGATAGAAATTTATGTTATATATAATTCGAAAGAGGAGAAAAAGCTCTATCTTTTGGTTAAAAAAATTTCTTTCGGCACTCTTCTATCGAAGAAAAATACGGATCAACATTTTGTTCCATTACTTTTGCATCGTATGTTATGTTGAGAGTTAGTATGTGTTTGGAGAAACGTAAATAAGAAGAACTCTGTATCAGGCTGATTTTCTACTCAGAGGTGTAATTTAACTAGCTAGTTCTTCGTGCAAAATGCACAATTATTCTTTCTGTAATCTTGACTTTTAAGATGATATATAGGCGCTTTCTATACCCTTAGTAATAGTTTGTAAGACTCAAAAACCGATAATTGACATTATTGATATAAATGACTATTAAAAAAGATGAATGAATACTGTCTGAGACTCATCATCCGGATATATAATGCCAAGCCTATTGAAGCTAATTTTGGTAGTGTCTTAAAGTAGCAAGCGTAGCTGAAAGATAGCTTTGAAAATGTAAAATTCATTTTTGTTATTTGTTTTCTTTGTTTATAATAAAAAATGCTACTCTAATATATAGTATTAATAATAGAAATATAATTTTCTAAATTAATAACGATGATTGTTGATTCGATCGATAATGATAACAAAGTGTATACATAAAAAATATGATTAATAAAATTAAAATAACAATTGTAAAAATAAATATATGTATTAATAAATTCCAATTTTTTCTTATGATTACTAAAGTTGATAGAAGTTTTCGATGATGTTCATCCAATACTGAATGATAATCTGTAAAATGTGTTGTTGATTCAATTGTTCGTTGTTCATCAACCGATAAAATAACATTAAAATCAGGTATATGAGTTGTTGTATCATCGAAAATTTCGACTTGAAGTTCATGATGTGTTTCAGTAGGTATTAAACTAAAACACAAAAAAAAAAACTTTTAAAGAATTTTAGACTTTTTGAATGGCTAACTTTGGAAAAAAATCACAATAACTATGTTGAACATAAAGAGTTTTTGATTCCGATGAATTACACTTTTTGTGAATGATATCATTCCATGTTGAATTATCAGTTATATAAAATGAACATTGATTAATTTTAATTGAAATTTCAATTTTTTCATTTGATAAAATTTCAAATGATTCAAATGGAATATAAAATGCATTGATTATAATAAAACGATTTGTATAATTCGTTGTTTCACGTTTATAATCTTTTATTTGAATGTTTTGATTGAGTTTTATTGAAATATTTAATTGTTGTATATTTATTGACCATGGCCACAGATCATATTGATATAAATCAACAATAATCCATATTAAACGTGATTGTAAACGACAAATAAATGTAAAATCAACTTCAATTGGTAAAATATCAATTGATAATGATGGATATGGACATTGATAAGGTATTAATGGTTGATCATTTATTGGAGGATTTATTATTCGTGTGTTATTTTGTGGACAATGAATATACCATTGAATATTATGATTTATAATACCAATATGATATTGTTCATTTGCATTGATAAATACGAAGAGGAGTAATAGTAATAGAAAATGATACGAAAAAATCATTCAATAGAAATCAAAAAATTTTGTTTGATTGCCAGATGAGATATGAATAAAAACTAAATAGTAGAATATTGTTTTTATTTTCTAAAGATAACCATGCTGAATATTGCAAGTGAATGTTCACACATAATCATGAAAACTTCAATTGAATTTAACTTTGCAATAGTCGATGGTTGCGTCTCGACATTTTTTTTTTTTGCTGAGAGATCTTGTCAATATAATATGAATAAGTATAGAGTGAATGTCATGGTTCATGACCATTATATTACTCTTTCGTTATTTTCTCTTTTGACTATGATTTCTTAATTGTTGTTAATCTTGATAATGTCTATTTCTTTTAGTGTTCTCAAGTATGAGCACTATAGAAGTATATGTACACAATGAAATAGACACAATTGAAGTCATGAAGTACTTCAATCAACATCATCGTTAAAGATGTGAACACCGATCTATTTCTTCACTTCGTCCTGTACACAGTCTCGATATGGTTGTAATGATTCTTATCTCAGAATAATAAGATGGCAGATCGATCTGATAATAAAGGATTAACTCCTTATTTTTACAAAATAACATCTAGTCAATCGTATACTTTGAGACATTTACTTGTTTTTAGAATCTAACTGCATCATATATTCTTCTATTGAAAATGACATATAGACATAACTATGGTCATGCAAGCAGAAACACATGTATACAGTATATAGGTTACCTTTTTAATTCAACAATATAATGAAAAGTAACAATATAACAGACAGAGAATAATTAACAATTGATTTATCATATATATATATATATTTACCAAAGTTCTTGAATAATATTAGACAATCTAATACAATATTGGAGGAACATATATATTAATAGCACACACATCAAAATTGACAAGATATACTATTCATCAATATTGTTTCTGCCGACGAATTCATAAGTGAAAAAACATCATTATATTTATATCTGTAAGTGATTAAATTCTATGATATTATTGACATAGCAGCAAATATTTTTTTCTTCTGTTTTTTTTTCTCTGCCGTTTTATTGAGGATTTTAAATAAAAAACAATGGTTTGAACGACATTTACAAATCGAAATTTTTTAAATATCAGCAAATTTTGTACCATTAACTTCAGGATCAAAATGATCGGCAAATAAAGATTCAATCATATTCATCACAACTGTTGTTAGATATTTGCTATCTTGAAAACTTGGTACGAAGTTAGTGTTTTTAAAAAATGACTAATCGTACAACGCAGAAAACTAAAAGTTACTGAATCACTACAATTTTTTTATTACATGTTGCTCATAAAAATGATTCAAAAAAAGTTTTAGTGAATTTTATTTGACTTATATGTCTGTGATTATAAGAGATATAAAGCATAGAATAGACCTAACTGTCTGGTATACAGAGTTCGGCGGTTCTAATTCGATTCTCAAAACATCAAGAAATTAGAGACGCCACATATTTCAACACTTTAATGAGTTTATATATATATCTGATGATTTAACGATTCCAGTACGATTCTAGTTTTTTTTGGAACCACTGAACTCTTTTTATATATAAATATGCTGCAAACATTAGTTTTTTTATACTAAAAGGAACATAAAACACCGTACGAAGACTGAGAAAAATAAGAGTTTCACTTTAGTTATATTTGTATGTGTGTGAACTACTTGATAGAGGAAAAAGGTACTTCATTCTGATGGTAAGATATTTTCTGAAAATTTTCATTCTTTTATTTATCTAGAAAAGCTATATAACGAGATGAACTTAATATAGGAAATAAAAGCTATTATAAAATAATATTTCGATTAGAAAAGTGCTTTTCTTTTTTCTTGAATAAGAGATGCTTTTATTTATGAGAATTGTTATACATAGTGAATTTCTATTCTAGCATTATATAAACCTTTTTTTTAGAAACCATCAATTTTTATTAATAGATCGTGATAAAAATTAATTTATAATGAGCAAATAAGACTTTCTGTGGTAAAATGTATTGATCCACTAGAATGCAGGCTATTGGTCACACTAATTACGAGGAAACAATCTGAATCGACACCTGCTGTGGAAGCTTTTATTAAGCCCATCAGAAAGTCTTGGAGAGACTGATCAACGTCTAATAGGGGTTGTCTTTGTTGAGATACTAAATTTTCTAAAAAAAATAATGTCTTTACCACAGGCATGTTACAAAAATCGATAGTACTTGAAAATTCAATATCGCGATAAAAAAAGAAACATTCTTTTTGACTGAAAGTGGTTCAATTGTCGAATATTATTTATCAATAAACACAAAAGTTCAAAAACCTTCTTTACCGAAAAGCAAATTGAATATTGCTGCCATGAATCGGATTTTTAAGACAAATGTTGGAAAAGAATTGTTTTCTACGTAATGAAAAAAAGAGAATTTATATTGTCTAATAGCACAAAAATCATTTTGTCGATAAATTGAATCACGTCTTTGGCTTTTTAAGTGCTACTCTTGCTAACTTCGTAGCATCAATAAATAATTAATTATAATATCTATCAAATATAACAACAAAATAAATAACTGATCATTTGCCATTATTTACATTAATATATGATAGAATTTATCTGTGGTTAAATAAACTTTCGAAAAGAAAATACAAAGAAATTATTCTGATTAAATATTTGAATATGTAAAAATTCATGTGAATGTATTTTCAATGAATAAATAAAAACCAAGAAAAAATAGTCACAGATTAGTTTCATCATTAATTGCTACATGACATTTTGATCAGAGACAAAGCTGAGTACTGGACGCAGGAGAGTGTAGAGTGATTGAGCGCAAGAAAAGGAACGCTGTGTAGACGAAGTTCAAAAGCAGTACGAAAGTATTCAACAAAAAACAAAATGACATTTAGAAGTAGCCATGAGTATAAGAAGTACATGAGTCCTTCAAAGACAAAGTTTTGATTTTTAATCATCGATTGATCAACAAAATAATAATTCACTTAGTCTTCACAAATATTTATAATGTTCAATTAAAATAGTATTTCTTTTTTATTCGCAAAAGTTCAATCAAAGGTCTACTCAACATATTCATGAAAATAGAATTTTAATAGCATGTCGAGTTCTATTACTTTAATCATACAACTCTATGTAGAGCTTAAGTAAGCCATTTTGATAAGCTATCGTATCTGATGCAACTTTTTGTCACATTTCATTTTGTTTCATAGGTGAACTGAAGGATAAGTTGAATGGTAAGCTATAGAAAGGTAAAGAACAAATGTAAATCACAAAAAAAATGTTGACTGTCTTCCTTTTTTTTTTTGTACAAAAGAAAAAAGAAAGCATCGTAATATATAAGATACATACGGTTACTTCTGTCTATCCTCTCTAAACAGTAGACAACAAAAATACATTAACAATAAGAAATTTTGTTTTTCGTTGAGTCCATTCTAACCAAGAATAGAAAATTGATCAATAAAAAAAAATTAATTCTTTTCTTATGGAAACGAGTCAAAAACTAATTCTTATTCTTCTACCAACAATTTTCATAATTGGTACTATTACGATTTATCAATCGTTTCAGTATACTCATTCTTTTTCCGGTAAGAACGAATAAAAAATTACTCTATTCTCTTTGACAGATTTGTAAAATATTTTAGTTGTACCTAATAATCGTGTTCATGTTGAATTTTTTGTTATGTCAAAATGTCCAGATGCAATGAGATGTGAAACATCATTTCTTCCTAGTTTATTAAAACTTTCATCAATTATTAATTTTACTCTTTCATTTATTGCTACGGAAACAAGATTCCATGAATTTAATTGTATGCATGGTATCGATGAATGTATGGGAAATAAACAACAATTATGTATACAAGATATATATCCACAAACAACACTTATAAAATATCTACAATGTCAATCAGCACGATTTTTTATGATTCCATATAATGGTGAACAATGTGCAAGAGAAACTTCTGAAAATATCATTAAATGGTATGATGTACAATCATGTGTACAATCAAATAGAGCAAATGAATTATTTCATAAATCATTACAACGAACATATTTAGCATCAACTAGAAAATCATGTACAATTTATTTAAATGGACAATTTTGGTGTATGCATGATGGGCTTTGGTCGAATTGTGCCGAAGGTCATGATGAAATAAGTTTTATTCGAGCGATTTGTTCAAGATATAATGAACAAAATAAACCAATAGAATGTTTCACTGTCGTTTAACTTTTTTATGAAAATATTAGGAATACTAAGCTTGGTAAAAATAACGAACAGTTGTTTGTTTTTGTTATATTTTTCAGTTACACATTGTTTTTTATAAGTTATACGAAAAAAAAATAGAACTAAATAAACTATTTTGACTCTGATACGTGTTTACCTTTGAATGAAATACTTGAGTGGCTCAGTGAGAGTGTGAGTAAAGAGAAAGCTCTGATCCATATACTTGATCTTCCAAGTCGTTTGTTATCATCGCTCACCCATTATTCAAAGTTGATTTTCATAAGAAAAATATTTATAAAAGTTCTTCCATGAACTACATAGTATTGCTGACCTGAATGAAGAAGTGTAATCTTAGTCATACAATGAAATAATAAAATCGAATTTTTCCACATAATTATCTAATTATTTATAGTGAATGCTTTTTTGCATACATTAAGTAATAAAGTATAGGTGTATGGTAGAAGTTTGAGATTGAACGATACTAATAAGAAAAAAATGATTGACAAACTAATTTTTTTAATCTTAAAGAGATTGCATATAAGTTACAACTCAATTCCACAGAAAGCTGCTCAAACAAAATTTCGCAAATTTAATTTCGGTCTCATACACTAAAGATGGATCAAATCCTAAGTTTCTTGGCGGAAACCACAGTTCGCTGGATCGCTCAAGCCATTGATGAGATATTCAATTTTTAGTAAGAATATGAATTTATGTTTATGATTAAAAAAGCTTTGTGTATTCAAATCGAACTCAAGATACGGAGTTTTTAATGAAATTTGACAATTTTGTATCTTTATTGTATACATAAATTTTCGCTAAACTCCCTAAACAAAATTTGATGTTCATTAAGAGTGTGGATGTAGATGTGGGTATAGTTGTAGATGCGAGTGCGAATGTGAAATATGCGTGTCGGTATAGTTATATGTGTGGGTGCTACTTCATCTTATCTCAACCCACAGTGACATGCGCAGCAACAGTCATAACCATAACTACCAACGCACACCGACAGCAATAGCCACATTGACACTTACACCCACGCCGACCACATGCATACCCACACTCAGTTCTGTGTTAGGTTACTTTTGGCTCACCCTGTTCATTCGAAGACAAGGAAATCCTTTTGTTTATGACAAAGTATTTTGAATAAGGCAATAGCTATATGTAAAAAAGAGAACAATGAAAAGAAAATAGATGAAACATAGAAACAGGCATAAATCTTTATCTGCAATATTATAGATTTCATTCTTTTGTCTAATTTCAATTGATAGAGTTTTGAAAAAAATACGTAAGCCTCTTGGTGTATTTCAAAAACTAACAATGGCTCCTTCATTTCATCAACTAAACGTTTAAAATTCAGTAATTTTAAGAAAATGAGAGGTTGATTGATGAAACTGCTTACTGATGAAATATTTTTTTAAGATCTTTTCATTTCCTTAGTTCCCCTGATTAAGTTCTTCCAAGATATGTTTGCTTATTTCTTGAACCCAATATAATTAGATTTAAAAAGTAATAAGACTAATTTTCAAACAGTTTGAAATGCTTGAAAAACTAGTTTCAAATTGTTCTTGTAATTAATCAAGAAAATAAATTATAAAGTCATCATATGAGATAATGCCTTGTACTCATACTTAGAGGTGTTAGCCGATCATTTGATCGGCGGCGGCGGCAAGGAGCTCTCGCCGAGGAGGTCATTTTCGGCGGCGGCGGCGACGACAAAATTTTTCCTATGTTATTTCACAGGCTCTTTCATAGATCCCTACCGTTAAGACAAACATTAGGCGTTCTGTTCTCATAGAATTATAACGCTGTTTTCTTCTTAGCACGCTCATGTCTTTTTATGGAAAAATTTTTCCACTAGATGTAACTTTATTTTCATTAATTGAAAAAATTCACATTGTCCCATCATAAAATAACTTCAAACCACACAACAAGAACTCATGATATAAGCCAAAATGGCAATAATGTGACTATCCATCTAAAATAAAAATTAAATTCAAACATGATAGCTTATGGCTGGCACTCTATCTTTACTTTACCAAATAAAGTAAAGTATTAGAACTTTACTTTACCCGATCAAGTAAAGTTAAATACTTTACTTTAACCGTTAAAATAAAGTTAAATACGTTACCAAAAAAGTAAAGTAAAGTTAAAAAACATCAGCAGTGTCACATATTCAGAATATCGGGGATGCTGGAGATGCCGCGAGAGATGCCAAATTGCCTCATAACATACTGTTCATTTACTACATATATCTGCAATTCCTGTCAGACATGCATCTCCTGTAGAGACGCCCCATCTCCAGCACATCTCCATAGAGAGATGCCGCATCTCCCAAACCTCCATCTCCTAATAAAAATTTATTTTTTCGATTTTTAGGCTTGGGCACTTGAGGGAGATGCGGTATCTCCTGTAGAGACGCCGCATCCCCAGCACATCTTCACAGGGAGATGCCGCATCTCCCTAATCTCCATCTCCTGATAAAAAGTTTTTTTTCTCGATTTTTAGGGTTGGACCCTTGAGAGAGATGCATCTTCCTCAGGAGATGCGGTATCTCCTGTAGAGATGCCACATCTCCAGCACATCTACACATGGAGATGCTGCATCTCCCAAATCTCCATCTCCTGATAAAATTTTTTTTTTCGATTTTTAGGCTTGGACCCTTCAGGAAGATGCATCTCCCTCAGGAGATGCGGTATCTCCTGTAGAGATGCCACATCTCCAGCACATCTACACATGGAGATGCCGCATTTCCCAAATCTCCATCTCCTGATAAAATTTTTTTTTTCGATTTTTAGGCTTGGACCCTTCAGGAAGATGCATCTCCCTCAGGAGATGCGGTATCTCCTGTAGAGACGCGGCATCTCTAGCACATCTCTACAGGGAGATGCCGCATGTCCCAAATCTATCTGCTGATAAAATTTTTGTTTTCGATTGTAGGTGTGGGTGCGGGTGTCGGTGTGTGGGTGTGGGTGTGGTGTGTGTGGGAGTGTGGGTGTGGGTGTGGTTGTGGTTGCGATTGTGGGTGGAGTGTGGGTGTATGGTTGTCCGGGTGTGGGTGTGGGTGTGAGTAAGGAGATAAGAAGTGACAAATCTCAAATTATTACCAATTTTCGAATCTGCATGTCAATATTTCGAAATTTTAAACTTCCTTAATTTTCAAATTTTCAAAGTTTGAAAGTATGGCTAAATATGAAAAAGACCGCTATATCACATATGAGATGTTTACTCACACCATGCATTTTTGAAATCGTCAGACAAGCAGATATCAGATATTTACTCACACTATACATTTCTGAGCAACTATCAGAAGAGCAGATATCAGATATTTGGGTGTGTGAGTGCGGGTATGGGCGGTGTGTGTTAACAGAGGAAGTGCACTCACATCCACACCCACACCCTCGCAGCTGCTGTGGGTGCCGCGAAAGGATTGGCCACAAAAGGGGTGGCTATGGAGTGACTGGCCACACTACGATATACATCACATGGCAGCTGCTGTGAGTGCAGCGAAAGGACTGGCCACACTACGACACACATCACATTGCAGCTGCTGTGGGTGCCGCGAAAGGGCTGGCCACAAAAGGAGTGGCCTCGAATGGGTTTGTCACACTACGACACACATCACATCGCAGTTGCTGTGGGTGCTGCGAAGAGACTGATCGCGAAATCTATAGTGTAAGTATATATCTGATATCTGCTTTTCTGACGATTTCAAACATGTACTTTATGAACATGCGGCATCTCCCTGTGGAGATGTGCTGGAGATGCGGCATCTCTACAGGAGATACCGCATCTCCTGAGGGAGATGCATCTCCCTCAAGGGTGGAACCCTGAAATTCGAAAAAAAAATTTTATCAGGAGATGCAGATTTGGGAGATGCGGCATCTCCCTGTGGAGATGTGCTGGAGATGTGGCATCTCTACAGGAGATACCGCATCTCCTGAGGGAGATGCATTTCCCTCAAGGGTCCAATCCTAAAAATCGAAAAAAAAAATTTTATCAGGAGATGCAGATTTGGAAGATACGGCATCTCCCTGTGGAGATGCGCTGGAATTGCGGTGTCTCTACAGAAGATGCATGTCTGGCAGGAATTGCAGATATATGTAGTAAATGAACAGTATGTTATGAGGCAATTTGGCATCTCTCGCATCTCTCGTGGCATCTCCAGCACCCCCGTTATTCTGGATATGTGACACAACTCAAAAAAATGAAGTTGTATGTTTTAAATTTTTTGGCAATTTCTTAGTTCAGGATCGTGTAGAAATAATCTTAGAACGTATCAAAGTTTTTTCAATATCGTTTCGTCTTAAAATTAGTGTGAAAAAAAATAAGTAAAGCCGAAAAATATCGGTTTTTTATGGATACATAAAAAATATTGTTTGGTTAACTTTATCTCACTTTATTTTCCACATTCGAACTATAGTATTTTACTTTACTCTACTCTACTTTACTTTACTTTTTCAAAGTAAAATAAAGATAATGTGCCATCCCTATGCTAGCTCGAATTAGTTCATAAGTGAAACTAACATTGAAATTAGAATTTGAATCCAAATTTAAATCGATACTTTTCTGTGAGTGGAGAAAAAGAGCAAGATTTGTTTTCATTGATTATTTAAATTCAAATTGAAACTAAATATTTTTCTTTTTTCTAAACTGGTAGGAGAGTGTCGATTGGAATTCGAATTCGAATCGCAATGTTAGTTACATCTATATTCGACCTCAAACTAGACAGTTAGTCGAAACTGCATACTGAATACGTCAAAAATCGCGAAACGAAGAAAATAATAGCGATGAATCTATTGTGCATGAAGGAATAATGCAAATGAAAACCTAATAAATATGGTAGCGTCACAAAATCACAAGGAGACATATTTTCTTATCAGCTCGGTTTTCAGACCATATGTCATCCAAGAAAAAATACACTAATTCCTAGTTTTTAAAAGTTCTGTTGGTTTCAGCAATCTCTAATTGTCACATAGATCAAACTTGAGATATTACTGATTATT